ACAAACACAATGGCGCAATCAATTTTGGGCTTTGTGGCCGATAAGGCCTTCAATTTAATTTCCAAAGCAGATAATCAAACAGATATTCCTACGGTGAACAGATAGAAATTCAAAACCACATATTTTCTCATAATAGCACACGAAATCATACTAAACACATAATCATACTCATATTAAGGACCAATTAACATATTACGGAATAGAGGTATCACAAGCAGTTTCTTGGAAATCGTCCAAGCAAATATGCATTGCAAGATCCACAATAGAATCTGAGTTTATTGCTTTAGATAAAGCAGAAGAAAAAGCAGAATGGCTTCGTTACTTCGTAGAAGACATTCCAATGTGACCAAAACCTATGTTAGCTATTTGTATTTATTGTGATAGTCAAGCAACCATGGCTAGGGCACAGAATAATTTGTACAACGGTAAGTCTCGACATATTTGACGTACACACAATACCGTTAGGCAACTGCTCTCAAATAGAGTTATATCCATTGAATACATAAGGTCAAAAGATAATATTGTGAATTAGTTAACAAAAGGTTTGACTAGAGAGCAGGTTATAAGATCATCGAGGAGATGGGACTAACGCCTATCACTTAAGAGTCACCTTAATGGCAACCCAACTTAACTGACTAAAGATCCCAAAATCTAGGTTCAAAAGGACAACCAAATTAAGAATGACTCAGGAAGATCACTGAGGAGACAATCTCCTACCCATTTCTATGATGATATAGTGATGTCTGCAACGATAATCATGATAAGGTTTTACTTTTAATGATTCTCATAACTTGGAAATCCAAGTGGGGTATAGCAAGATACTCTTAATGAGAATCGCTTATATGAGTATAAACTGGGCCGGCTTTATGAGAATTGAAAAGGCTGAATTCTCTAGAGCACTAATGAAAATCATGAATTGTCTAGGGCTAAAATGGGCATAACTGATAGAACTAAGTTGTGTTTGGAAATCAAATTGTGTGAAAGGTTGTTGTCTTGGTTAACACCAAAGACAAAACAGTTCAAGGCATTATGTCTACTGTTTGTTAGTAAATCCGATAATCTTTTACAAGGGAAGGTTCAAGGCCAAAGTTACCTCTCCTTTGTAGGATATTTCTAGTTTAGTACTTTTTGTGTCTGCATATTGTTGCATGTTCTTTTCATCAATTTCATTCATGTGGGAGATTTTTGGAGAAAAATGATTTTAAACCATTAATATTTTGAACTTTAATTAGTGTAGGACCCACACATTATTTTAGGTGTGTCAACGTAGCAATTTTATTGCTTATTATGTGGTGAACAAGAGTATGTTGTATGGGTGTTAAAACCATTAATGAGTAAATGAAAAATCGACTCATGAACATAAACTTTGTAAGAAGGGGATTATGGATTGAGATAGACTCAATCCAAAACACACCCATGCGGGTATGGGTTGGGTTGGGTTGGCACTTGTAATTTTTGGAAAAAACAGTATTGGAAATATATATATATATATATATATATATAAAACTGAATTTTAATTTTTTCAAATCTTGATCCAACAACTGAATTTAAGTTTTTCAAATCTTGGTCCAACGGTCAACTTCCTTGACCGAACAGTCACATAAGTGACTGTTGCTTGCTATGGTTTGTGAAGTATATAATGGCAATGCAATCTCTCATTAAAACAAAAAACAATCATTGATTGGATCCTAGGTTTTTGTCTTCTTGTGGCAGTGGTCAAAATCATCTTCATCTTCATTTTTTGTTTTAGAGTACTTACCACATATTTGGTTCGCAATACACATAGATTGTAGTACTACTTCTGTGTGTAGGTGATTGTTATATTCTGGAGACAAGATGTCCATAAATCTGAAGCACCAGTGGAGAGGCCGAATTTCTGTCGTAAAGACACAGTGTCCAAACACTAGTCTCAATGGGGCCAAGTCCCCTCCTCAGAAGGAGCAAGTCCTAGACTTGACTCAAGATGAGGAAGGTG